GGTATTCCAGGTGAATTATATTTACCTGTTAAAAAATAGATTGTATTTTCCATATAAATGATGGAAATTTCTTGTGATTCAGTTTTTGAAGCTAGTGAGATCCTGTTACCAGTACTTGTTGTTGTTGTATACTGTCGAGTCAGACCCAACTCATAGCGACCCCTCCATGGGTTTCCGAGACAGTATCACTACAGAAGTAGATTGTCCCATCTTCCCTCTGAGGAGTGGCTGGTGGGTTTGAACTGCCAGCCTTCTGGTTAGCAGTAAAGGCAATTTAGAAAACAAAATAAAAAAAAGCTTTATTTAAGAATATAGATTAAAAAATTCTAAGATAGTAGCTCTTTTAAACGCTTACTATTAGAAGAATAGCATTTTCTTGGAATGCAAAAGATAGTTCACAGTAGGAGATCTGTCAGCATAACTCACTGCATCAACAAATTAGAGGAGAAAATCTATGTGATTCTATTAGTAGATACTGAAAGGCATTTGATAAAATGGTTAAAAGTGTAATTAGGAATTTTGATAGAAACTATCCACTCCAAAAAAACAAAACCAAACCTTCTGACATGAATTCTCACTCATAGCGACCCTATAGAATAGGGTAGAATTGTCCCATGGGTTTTCCAAGGCTATAAATCTTTATGGAAGCAGACTGCATCTTTATCCTGCAGAGCAACTGATGAGTTTGAATGATGTTCTTTTGGTTGGGAGCTGATCATTTTAACCACTGTGTCACCAGGGCCATAGCTATAATAATAGCACCTGCCACAAAGGGTTGTTATGAGAAGTTAATGATGTAACGTGTGTAGAAACACTTGGAACAATGTCTAGCATATAGAAATTAGCGATGTTAGCTATTATTACTTAAACACAATAAAGTTAGCTTAGAAAAAAAAATAGTAAATAGTGCTTTGAGTGGCAAAACTTTTTGGTTGAAATTATGAACAAGGAAGTTGTATATTCTTCCCACTGTATTCAGCAGTTGTTTCATTTCTCTAAATGCAATTAGAATAGCAAGTGAAATACCTGATATAAATACTAGAGGAGGAGATAAAATAATTTAAATTTAAAATAATATGATTGTTGTTACTGTTAACGCCATTGAGTGGGCTCAGATACTTGGTGGCCTATGTGTAATAGAATGAACCGTTACCCTGTCCTGTACCATCTTTGTTATTTTTGATGTTTGAACCTCTTGCTGTGGCTATTGTGTCAGTCCATCTAATTAAGAGTTTTTCTCATTTTTTGCTTATTCTCTACTTTATCAAACTTGTTCTTTTCTGAGAATTTGTGTTTGTCCAAAGGAAGCTAGATGAACTATTGCCTTCCTCGCTTCTTCCAAGGTTCATTTAAGTTTTATTCCAGATAAACAGGTATAAATTTCAAGTTATGTGATTATATACCTAGAAAACCTAAGAAACTACTAAAAACTTGTTAAAATTAGTGAGTGTACTAAATAAGGTGAGTATAAAATACAAAAAATGAATAGTTCTTCATTGCCATTTAGAAATGTAAAAAAAAAAAAAAAAATCATAACAAATACTCAAGGATAAACTCAACAAAATAGTTCTTTACCAACATGGAGAAAATGATTTTACTCTTTCAATAAAAATTTTTTAAGGTAAATCATACTAGGTCTCGATAAAAATGTCAACCTACCCAAAGTGATCTACGTGTTCAACACCACCCCTATCAAAATTGCAACAATTTTTCTTGCAGAGAACATTTGGAATAGGAGTCCAGAAAGAAACTCATACATCTATGGTCAATTAACTTATTGACAAGAGTGCCAAACCCATTCAGTGGTAAAGAATGATCTCTTCAAATGGTGCTGAAGCAATTTCACACTATTTATGAACATTTAGTCAACAGTGGATCAAAGAGCTGAATGTAAGAACTAATACCATAAAACACATGGAAGAAAACATAGTGGTAAAACTTCAAGACCTTATTTTTAACATTGAGTTCTCAGCTATGACCCAAAAAAGAAAAAAAAAATGGATAAATTGAACTTAATCAAAGTTAAAAAATTTTTTACATCAAAAATTTTATCAGCAAAGTGAAGTAACCCACAGAACAGGAGAAAATTTGGGAGCCATATATCTGATAAGGGCTTAATATCCAGAATATATAAAGAACTCCTACACCTGAACAGCAAAAAGATAAACAATTCAATTAAAATATTGGCAAAGGATTCGAGTAAACATGCCTCCTAAGAAGATTACACACATGTCCAGTAAGCACATGAAAAGATTCTTAAAGTCATTAGTTATCATGGAAATACAAATCAAAATCAGAATTAGATACCATATCACTCTGCTGGCATGGTTATTAACAGAAAAACAAAAAACAACAGTGTTGGGGAGATTATGGAGAAATTCTTTGTGGTGGGCTGCTATGGTAAACAGTTGGGTGTTTCCTCAAAAAGTTAAACATAGATTGACTGTATGACCGGGAATTTTCACTCATAGGCATATACCCCAGAGACTTGAAATTTGTACACAGTGTTCATTGCAACATTATTCACAATAGCCATAAAGTGGAAATAACCCAAGTATCTTGCATGAATATACCATGTATTGTATATCCAATTCTCAGTGTTATCAACAGGAATACAATTCCTGTTGATAACACTGAGAATTGGATATACAATACATGGTATATCCATGCAATAGAATATTATTAAGCCATGGAGAGAAATGAAGTCCTGATACATGACATGGGTGAACCTTGAAATCATTATGCTGATTGAAATAAGTTAGATAATGGGCAAATACTGCATGACCTACTTATATGAAATAATCTAAAAGAGACAAATGCATAGAGATAAAAGTTTATTATTGGTTACCACAGACTAGGGGGTGGGGACAGGGAATAGGGAGTTACTTCTTAAGGGGTACTGAGTTTCTGTGATGAAAACTTCTAGAGCTAGATAATGGCAATGGTTGTACAACATGTTGTTGTTGTTGTTAGATGCCATCGAGTCGGCCCTGACTCATAATGACCTTATATACAACAGAATGAAACACTGCCTGGTCCTGTGCCAGCCTCACCATACTTGCTGTACCTGAGCCCATCATCGCAGCCACTGTGTCAGTCCATGCCATTGAGGGCCTTCCCTTTTTCCCCTGATCCTCCACTTTACCAAGCATGATATCCTTCTACAGAGAATGTAATTAACGTCACTGAATTGTACACTTAAAAATGGTTAAAATAACAAATTTTTTCTTGTACATATTTTACAATAAAAATTTTGAAAAACAATTTTTTTTTAAATGTCAGCTTTTCTAAAATTAACATGTTGCCCATCAACTGAGGAATGGATAACCAAATTGTGGTACATACACACAGTGGAACACTGTGCAAGAATAATGTAGAATCTGCAAAACACCACATGACATGGATGAACTTGGAGGACATTATGCTGAGTGAAATAAGTTAACCACCAAAGGGCAAATACTATATTGGTACACTAGTGTAAAAAGTCAAGGAAAGGTTTATACATGGTAGGAAATATTCTTTGTTGGTTACTGTGGTAGTTGTTTGTCAACTTGGCTGGAGGTTTTGAGTGGCTGGGCAGCTGGATGTGGTATTCCCTATGATGGGACTGGTAATCACCTCCATGATGGAATTTACTTTGAGCAGCTGAATAGCTGCCTTAGGGGTGTGATCTGCTTCCAGTATTTAACAAGAAACATTGAGAAATCTCTGCAGCTTTTTGGCACACTTGGACCCTGCGTGTAGCTGAGTCTTCACTCAGCAGCCTACCATGTCTCCTGCTGATCTTGGGACTGTCCCTGGACTTGAACTAGTGGCCCGTCATATTTGGTGATCTTGAGATTGTGCCATTGTATTTGTCATCCTTGGGTTTGTCAGCCTCAGCAGCCAGCAGCTGCTTGAGTAATGAGACACCTCCAGCTGCAGAAGGCTGGGAGCAAGAGGCAGAGCTGAAGCCCAAGGTCAAGGCACTTTCACCCAGCCCCGAGAGCTGGCACTTTGAACAACTCAGGCTTCTGGCTTCCAAAGCTGTAAGATAATAAATCCCTGTTTGTTAAAGCCATCCACCCATTTGTGGTATCTTCTGTTAGAGTGTCACTAGAGAACCAAAGCAGTTACCAGTGGGGGTGGGAGTGAAATTCCTAGGTAGGTTGGGGGGGGGAGATACACACACACATACATATGTGGAGGGAGGGGGAAAGGAGCAGGAAGCTTTTGTTCATGGAGCATTGATTTATGCTAAAGGTGGTGGAATATTTTGGACAAGGAAAGCAGTAATGGTAGCACAACATGAAAAATGTCATCAATGTCCTCGAGCTTTAAATGTGGAAGTTGTTATGTTGACAGATGTTTTGTTGTGTATGTTTTCACCATAATAAAAAGTAAAAAAAACCCAAAAATGTCAATTTGAGTTGGAACCTTAGTTATTTTAGAAAATTAGATGAAATGACTTTAAAGTTCATATAGAAAATATGTTTCTAAGAATACCAAAGAAGATACATTGTGTATTTAATTACATTTCTGTTAAGAGTCAGGCTCTACTCTCCCACCACAAAAACTTAATTTGTATGGAGAAAGATGAAGAAGAAAGCAAGCATGCCATCTTGGTGGCATTTTTTTCTTTAATCTCTGTGTAGATGGAAATGAATAGAGAGGAATGGAGGAGGGCACATACACAAATGTATTATTTATTGTTTTACCTGTTGTTAGGAATATGTGTATTTTTAGTTGCTCTAGTATGGAAAATTTAATAGAAAAATATTTAGTGACTTTTCAGTCATTAAAGTTGTAATCTTTTAGTTAAACTGGAAATAAATGTATGTCATGGGCTGATATAGGAGATTTTTTGAGAAATTTGTCAGATTTTTAAAATACTATAAAAATGAAAAATACTTTAATTTAGTCTTCCTGAAAGTTTGCTTCTTTCTATAAATACAAAATTAATTTTTAACTCAAACATTCTGGAAATAACTTTTTCTTTCTTTTCTGTTTCTATGTCAAAGGTATGCAGCCACTCATGTATTCTGTCCAGGAAGCATTAAACGCCAGACCATGGTGGGTTCGTGTGGGGACTGACATTTGCTACTATAAGTAAGTATTCTGAGACTAGTAGGATACTAGCTTAAAGAAGGGATATTAACTTTATTTTATTTCAATGCAGAGATAAACAATTATACCACATTTTTTGATTTATGATGCTGTAATTTAATTTACTTTTAACAAAGAGTAGTGTAGAATTTGAGTTCCTTTGGAGTGAATATAATGGAAATAAATTGTGTTTTATCTATAGATGGACTTTGGTCTAAATCCTATTGTCACCACGTAGATAGCTGTGTATCCTTAACTTTCTCAGTTTTGTTGTTGCTCGTTACTGTTGAGTCGATTCTGATGCATGAAGACCTGATGTGGGGAGAGTAGAACTGCTCCATAGGGTTTTTTTTTTTTTTTTTTTTTAGGATTTGGGTGAAGATTTACAGAGTAAATTCACTTTTCATACAGCAGTTCACATATACTTTGTCTCATGTCATTGACCAA